CTCTTCCCCTTTCAATGGTTATAAGCAATAAAAGAACCTGTTAGTTACATGAGATTGTTCTTATTGTAGTATTCACATGCCATTGAACTCTGGATGTTTAATGTTCTCTGAAATTAAGGTAAAAAAAACAATACACTTCATTCAGGGAATGAAGGTGATACAGTTTACCTCACACACTGTGCAAAAAGCTGGAGAGTCCAAAGAGAAACCAATTTTGACCAATGCCTGCAACCGGAAGAAAGAGGAAACAAGATTTCTTAATTGAAAAGAAAAGAAAGGGATGGGGTGCAATCTTAAAAATTAGTAGTACAGCAATCTGTACATCTTAAGGCAAGTAGAAATTAAAGGCATAAGCTATGGAGTGTAAAGAGAAAAACTGAAAATTCTGTAGATTTGATGAACATCTAAGCATGAAATGGATTTAAAAAGCTCCCTTTGTTTGAGGCACAAAACACAGAATGCATTCTGAAACTACCTCATAAACTTCATCAAGGCCAAGGAATCCACGACCCCTGTAAAAGAAAAAATCATATGGAAGTATTTGAGTTGGATATTGTTGAGAACACAGAAGTAGCACATGGATCCCCCATGACCATCAAGATGTGCATGCAGTAAACAAATATTTAGAATATGCAACAGCTAAAAGACCAGATAATTTCAAAATGCAAATAATTGCTAAGAGCTGTTAACAGCTGTACGTAGCACAAAGTATGAACTACCAAAAGATGTAATTAAATTAAAGTAGCCATTGCTAATCAAATCCATCAATGACATTCACAGGTAGAAATTAAAACAGGAAAATAGATAAACATCTCTAGTGTCATTTTTTCATTTCAACAATGGGGATCAGCATGCTGTATATCCTGACTGACATTAGAGCACAATTTTTTTTCTCTTAAACAAAAAGAAGGCAGCTTCTTGGGCAACAATGACTAATGTATTGACACAAGCCACAGAAGTTACATATAAAGTTAAAAGTACTTGAGGGTTAGGGAACTGGGATACCTCTCAAAGTCCGAGAAAGCTTGCTGGACCTGCAAAGAGATCAAAATTCAACTCCTTTTTGCTAATAAAAGCAGCTAAAATAGCATGATAATTTCAAAAGAACAAAAATGTGAAAGCACTAACCTTGATCAGGAACTTGTTAAGGGCAACAAATTCTGGGTTTGAAAAAATGAAAAAACTTCACTTGAAAGTTAATTAGCAGGAACTAAAGGAAAATTTGAATCAGAGAATTACCTTCAAAACTCATGGTACCATTTCTATCGAAATCATACATCCTAGAAAAAACCCAATTCACCATAAATACAAATAAAAACAAAAAAATATATATATATTCCGAAAATATTGGAGAAAAAATAGAGAACCTGATCATTTGTTGAACGACGGAGAGAGAAAATTCCAGGTTACCAACGGAAAAAGCGCTCTGATCATCGAGAATTGACGACAAATTTCGAGTTTATAAGTGAAATTGAAGGGAAACTTAAACTGAAAACTTGAATAAAGTACCTTGAGTTGGGGAGCAGTGAGGCTTCCGGTTTTCTCCGAGTCAACTCGCTCGAACCACTCTCTTAGATTCGCCTTGTTCTCCATTTTCGCAGCTAAAGCTGAAAGATTTACCGGCGACAGCTACAGATGATTATGAATAATTAGAAATTCACCGGGAGAAATACCCATATGAGCCCTTGTACTTGGTATCAGTGTTTAATTCCGTCCTTCGGCTTTTATTGGTTTCAATTAAATCCTCCAACTTATGTTGATGTTTATGTTACCACATGCCATTTTGGTCATGAAATAGATGATAACTACTTGCTAACATATTAAAAAAATTCAAATTTAGTGTGGGAAATAACTTTCATGTTCTACATGTCATCTTCTTGTTGCTTAGAAAATATTAAATGACTCTTTAATAATCAAATGTATGTTTAGATTAAAAAAAATTGTGGACATATAGACGGGAAAAATATTTAGTTTAATTAAATTAAGATATCATTAGCACCTTGCAAATAGGTTGAAAACATCTTTCATTTATTTGAATAATAACGGTTGTTAATGTAGTTAAATTTAAACTAATATCTTTAAACTAACAATTTAAAGAGTTAAAATGAGTCAACTTTTTTTTTTTTTTTGAGGTGAATTTATTTTAACTCAACAATTTTGAATTGCACCTATTGCCGAAAAAAAGCCAACATCTAAATGGGATAGAACGCAAAAAATTATCCCCATCCTCCCATTTATTCTTCTTCAAGGGCACAACCATAAGTGTCAAAATTATGTTTTAACTTATAAAATTGTATAATTTTATGATTTTAGGAATGCAATTCGTGTAAAATCTAAGTCAAAATTGGAATATTATAAACTCAAAACAGTAAATTCTTAAAATAAGATAAAATCAATATTTTACAAATTTAAAAGGTTTTATGAATTTTTGTATTTTAAGGTATCTAATAATCATAGTATTGTTGGAGCTGTGTTTGTTGCCTATTTATGGGCTGTTTGGTAGTGGTTGGAATCTTGGTCATGTAATTTGGCATTTTTAGAATTTCAAGCAAAAATTTTAAGGTTTTATTAAGTTTTTATAAATTAAACTAATAATATTTTATTATGAATATTTTTAGGTCAAAATGATTAAAATTTAAAGTAATTTAATAACTATGAAATAAAAAATGTTTAAAAAAAGATTTGAAATAATTAATTAGTAATTATACTTTTTAGATAAATTTTAAATTTAAATATTTACTGTTAAATTTTAATAATATATAAAATATAAATTAATTTAATAAATTCTCAATTTTACCTATTCAATTTTACAATTTTAATTTTATTTAACCAAAATAA